TCCCAATATGCAGTGCAGGAAACCAAGTTGTCCTGTTGGAAGGTACCTGCTATCAGGTAATACCATATAACTGGCCGTATTGGGCAGCAGTACTAAATGTAAGCATGTATTGGCCCCTAGTTGTTCAACTCCCATGCTTCCTTGGAGTCTCTAAACATGGTGACAAGCACTATGCCATCTTAACTTTAAACCAGATCTAGACTTGGACACACCTTCCACATCCCAATATGCAGTGTGGGTACCTGGCTGTCCTTCCGATGACCAAGTACAGTAGAGAAATAGACGCCGCTCTGACCGATTCCTGGAGTCTGGTGTATGTAAGATGGCCTCAGCCGCTGCTCCAGCCACGCCTGTTGATGTGCTTGATCAGAGGCGCCTACTTCTCTACCATACTTGGTCATTGATGCAGCTCTCTCCTTCAGTTCACATTACCTGGTTGTCTTATTAAAAATATACCTGCCATTAGGTAATATTCTACAAATGGCAGTTGTGGGCAGCAGTACTGAATAGTCGCATATATTGGTTCCTAGTTCCACTCCCATACTTCTTGGAGCCCCTAAAAGTGGTGGCAAGTATGCTATCTGAGCAAGATCTAGGCTTTACACACCCTCCACATCCCAATATATGCAGGTAGCTGCAGTGCACCATGGGATGGATGTATTAACCACTTTTCCTCCAAAGATATCCTCCCCGTCCCCCTCCTGACCAGACCATTTTTTTTTCGCTGCGACACTGCGTTTGTCATGCAATGCTGCACCCAAATTATTTTTACGTCCTTTGTTTTTTTTTTCCCACGATTGAGCTTTCTTTTGGTAGTATTTGATTGCCTGTGGGTTTTTTGTTTTGTTTAACGCACCCCCCCCCCCCCCCAACAAAAAAGACCGACAATTTTGACAAAACATTTGACATTTTGCTATTAACCATGTCCAGAAAAAAATTAAAATCAAATTTAGGTCAAAAAGTATCCGGCGACATGTCTTTACTAATTTACACATTGTGATTTTTTTTTTGTTTTTTTTAGCAAAGTTTTTTTTTATAACGTTTACAAATGGCGGTATAAATACTGGAATTTTTTTACTAATAATATTGGCAATCAGCAACTTATTGCAGGACTGCAGCGGGCATTCTAACACTGGGGGGGAGCTGACTTGCTGTCACTGACATCCTCAGTGACACCAATACAGTGATCAGTGCTGAAAGAGCACTGGACAGGAAGGGGTTAACATGAGGGGTGATCAAAGGGTTAACTGTGTACTGGGAGTGTTTTTACTAGGGGGTGTCAGTGTGCTTCACTGTAATCACACTGAGCAGTGTACCCGAGCCTACAGGGAGGACTGTTGGTAAACAAAGCAGTCCTCCTCCCCGTCGGAGATGCTCGGTAATCACTGGGCGCCAGCGGGTAATCACCGGCTGGGACCCGGCGATTGACAGCTGCGAATGGCGCGGGTAGGGCATGCGCGTGGCTTGCGTGCGCCCCCCCCCACCTGGCAATGCAAAATCACGTGTGTGTATATATGTGATTTGTGCACGCCCCTTCCACCCTGTAGTAGGGAAGCGGTTAACGAATGCGCCTGAGAATTGGCTTTGAGCAAAGTCAACGTTTCCATTCTGAATCTGCCCCCAGCTATGATGTTGTCAGAGTATATACTGGAGTGGAATTCTAACGAGCAGCTGGCATCTGCCAACATCTTGTGACACCACCGCTGTGTCTGGCCAGTTTTGTTTCATCACTTTACTGATACAATCAACCATTTCCCTGCAGTATATGGTTATATTGCTAAAAAGAAAACCAGGGACTTGGCAACAATCATTCTGATTGGATGCTGGGAGGATTATGCATGGCTGTTTGTGGTCAAGCACTCGGTTCCTGGTGTCTTCAGCCTGTTTATGGAGGTCCGCATGTTCTGTGATCAGTTGGTGGTTCACAAACGATTTACGCCTTTTCTTCACATGGCAGCCCTCTGCGCCTGACTGCCTTGAAGAATGTTTGCGCAGCTTGTACTGGGCCCCCACCCGTCGCTTTCCATTACATGGCTGAATGGATTGAGCCCTGCAGAGGCTTCCTGCACGTTGGCTGTGTGGACTGGACTCCTGATGGGGGATGAAGCCTTTACCAGCAATGGAAGAACTGTACAAAAGAATGCACTTTGGCTGCGTAGACCAGACCCCAGATAGGGGATGGAGCCGTGGAGGAAGAGTTATTTAAAATGCACATTTTGGTTTTTCTTTTCACCCAATTAATTTTTCTAGCAATGCTTTTTACAGAACACGGCTTTGTCTCTGCAACAGTCTTTGCAACAAGACATGATTGTGTATATAGTGTTGTTGGCCCCAGAAGCCCAAAGATGTTGGTGTAGGGCAGGGGCAGACTGACCAGTTGAGCACTCGGGCACTGCCCGAGGGCCTGGGGTCAGTAGGGGCCCCATGAAATGCCCCTGGTACCTAAATGGTTAGCACTTCCGCCTGGCAGCACTAGGGTTGTTGGCTCTAATCCCAACCACAGCACCACCTGCCTGGAGTTTGCATGTTCTCCCTGTACCTGCGTGGGTTTCCTCTGGGTACTCCAGTTTCCTCCCACACTCCAAAGACATGCTGGGAGGTTAACTGGCTCCTGTCTAAATTGGCCCTAGTATGTGAATGTGAGTTGGGGACCTTAGATTGTACACCCCTTGAGGGTTAGGGACTGATGTGAATGTACAATATATATGTAAAGTGCTGCATAAACTGATGGCGCTATATAAGGACCAGGGGCGGACTGACCATTTGGAAACTCGGGGGCCCGGGGTCAGTAGAGGGCCCCATGTGATGCCCCTGGTACTGGGGCCCCATGATCCCGTATTGCCTGGGGGCCCCATGAGTTGTCAGTCTGCCCCTGGTGTAGGGATAGAAAGTGTGTACATAAAGGTGTGATCACGAAGGCCCCATTCACACTTCACGTTCCCACTCAAGATTTTGTGTGGGTGATTTACACGCAGATCCGTGTCCACTATCCACTTCAGTGGGCTGCCCTATGCACGTTTGTCACCCAAAACAAGCTCCTGCTCCGGGTGTTTTGTTTTTTTGTTTTCTTGCAACAAGCTTCACATGGTTTTGAGGCTGTGTTGTGCCGCGATTACGGCACGATTCTGTCGCATGACAATCCCTGCAAAATCGCACCACACCACGTTCAGAATATGCAAACTGAATGTGAACTGTGCAAAATGCGTGTTTGGGTACCATTTATTCCAAATGGCACCTGAACACTCATTTTGCACAGTTTTCCACACTTTGGAATCGTGGAGATTCTGCCCACGATTCCAAATCGTGAAATGTGAACGAACCTTCAAGGATAAACTCCAGGTATGATTTTTGCTCCATGCTTACGTTGGTTCAGCTTGGCCTACGATGTATGCTTGTTGCATACTGGAGGGGCCACTAGTGAAGATGGCAATCACTATAATAATCATTGCTACAGTGATCTCTGTGATCTTCCCTCTGCCTGCTAACCACAGGGGGCACCACTGCCATTCAGAGTGCTTTGTAATTTTCTATCATGAAAGCTCCCCATATTAAAGTTGAACTCCAGGAATAATCGCTCTTGCATAGGTACATTGATCCAGCTTTGCACCACTGCAATGATGGCCACAATCTTCTGGGTCCTACTTGGGTCTGTGTGAGTGTCTCCCCTTTGCACACTGACTGGGGATGCACCACTGCCATTCACAGAATGTCTTGGAGTATTTTCAGTGAATACAAGGCATTCTTTGATTGGATGAGGCAGAGGAGGGGGGGGGGGGGGTGATAATTACCATCTTGTCCAATCTGAGAATGCCTTGTAGTTATAGAATGCCTTTTTTTTTATTTTTTGTATTTTTTATTTGTTTTTCAATGAATACAAGGCTGCCTCAGATTGGACAAGGTGGCAATCATGACGTCGCCACCCCTCATTCAATCAGAGAATGCTTTGTATTCACTATTTTATTTATTTCAGGTACTTGTATAGCGTCAATTTACACAGCACTTTACATATATATAGTACATTCACATCAGTCCCTAACCCTCAAGGGGCGTACAATCTAAGGTCCCTAACTCACATTCATACATACACATACTAGGGCCAATTTAGACAGGAGCCAATTCACCTACCAGCATGTCTTTGGAGTGTGGGAGGAATCTGGAGTACCCGGAGGAAACCTCAATAAAAATAATACCAGACATTCTGTGAATGGCAGTGGTGCATCCCCAGTCAGCGTGCAGAAGGGAAGGCAATCGCACAGACCCAAGTAGGACCCAGAAGATAGCGACTATCATTGCAGTGGTGCCAAGCTGGACCAATGTAAGTATGCAAGAGTGCTTATTCCTGGAATATAGAAGGGGGGTCCAACGTGTGTAATTTTGAGATCCTTCTGTTTGTCTAAATTTATACCAAAGCCGTGACCCAGTTGTCTGAAACCATGGCATGTCAGACTTGTACTTGCCTCCTAGCTACCTAAGCAAAATCGGAAATAATTGTACCCAGTATTTCATATCCATGATTAAAATGCATTCGATTTTTATTCCTGAACATAATGCATGGATGAAAATGGTATAAATTTCTTTTCATATACCCAGCTGCTATGGCTATTGTGACAGAATCAGGGGCGGACTGACCACTCATGGGGCCCCTGGGCAATAGGGGATCATGGGGCCCCTGTGTCCCTTGCCCAAAAAAAAGTTATCTCAAAAGGTACCAGGGGCATCTCAAGGGGCCCCCTACTGACCCCGGGCCCTCAGGCAGTGCCAGAGTTTCCAAATGGTCAGTCCGCCCCTGGACAGAACAGTTTAATCTCTTACAGCCCTGGCTGGTCCACATAATACATAATAGTAGCCGAGCTTGATGTTGGGCCACATCCGAGGCATATAGGCGAATCCTGATCCAACAGATTGTGTGCCGTTCTTGAAGATTTATGACCATAGAATGTACACTGTCTTCTGCTATGAAATAAAGTTATCCTCTAAATTCTCTTCTTTCCCTTTTACAGTTTTGGGAAGTGATCAGTGATGAGCATGGTATCGACCCACAGGAAAAAAATACCATGGGGATAGTGACTTGATCCCCCCAGCAGCTGTAAAGAATTAATGTCTACTACAATGAAGCCTCAGGTATGGGGCCTTGTGGTCTGGAGGAGTTTGGTGAAATTATGGTAGAGGAATTGTTAGGAGTGGTGTTTCCAAAGCACTGGTGGTATGTTAAAGTTCAGCTTTCTTTAGAAAGTAAGCTGTTTCCGGAGTCAGTCACAGAAAAAAACCTGTCCCTGCCGGCATGCTGTAGAGAGGAACCCGTTTGACTCTCTGAGTAGAAGCGTTGGTCTCTTTGCAGCAGTCTAAGGCCCCATGTACACGGACTTCTGAACGATGGAAACTGACTGCTGGAAAAATGTAGGTTAAAAAAATTCTGTTTAGCTGTGTTTGCATACCACGATCACGTTTATGTGCATTTCTGTTTTTAGAAGCATTTTTTTAAAGATAAGCACAGGAGAACCTCCACTTAAAAATGCACTGCAAAGTGGTAAAAGTTATTAACTTTCAGACTGTTTCAGAGAAATACAGAGAGTAGAAGCAGAGACAGCAGTATGCGTTGAGATTAGTTTAGGTGTGAGTTTCTCATTAACATTTCTTTTGTTTCCAAGGGTGGGGAAGGTGTCTGGTGGAGGGAGTCATTAAGGTCACCTAGCAGGGGGTGCTCTTCATGAGGAATTTGAGGTGTGAATGGTCATTAACGTATCTTTTGTTTCCAAGGGTGGGAGAGGTCTTAGGTGTGAATTGGTCATTACAATGTGTGACAAGCTTGGTAGGAACATCCTGTGTTCAGTGTTTTGTCCATCTGAGTACCTTGAAAACTCTTTGCATGCATTTTTCATGATGGGAAAAGGCTCTGGACAGCATAACGGGAACTGGAAGAGTTAAAGAGAAAATCAAACGAAAATGCTTATAAACGCGTTTACAAGCATTTTGCGTTTGAAAACGCTGATAAAATCGACTGAACGCAAGTTTTCTGCGTTCGAAAAATGACTGTAATCTCAAACTACTGTAAACGAAGATGTGTACATGGACGCATAGGAAAAACATTAGGGTGAGTTCAGGGGCTGCTGAAAAAAAACCGCTGAACAGCTCCTAAACGTGAGTTCATCAGCTGCAGTGTACATGAGCCCTAACACCCCCTGCTGAGTTTCTGAGTTAGAGATCAGAACTCTAACTCTGCAGTCAGCAAAGCTCATGCTCCCTGCTGATTATAGAGCTCTGGCTCAGCAAGGGGGGGTACATAGGACCTCTGCAGAGAGGCCACTGCTTCTCCGAAACATGATACAAGGGGGAGGCTTTTCTTCTAGGGCTGTGGCTTCTTTATAAAGGGTCATTCACACAAGTACATTATGGTAGTGAAGAGTAATACATGTTATGTGCATGGGTGCACTGTGGTGCCATTCATTTTTAAATGACATTCAAACTCGCATAACCACAATACTCATACACTGCAACACATTAAAGCCCATTTTCAATTGCAGAGGTAGAGGTCTGACTCAGCAGGGGGCACATCAGACTGCTGCAGAGAGACTGCTGCTTCCATACAAAGCACAAGGCTTTTTTACTAAAACGTGCTGGTGGGGACAGGCTTTTTAATCGGGCTGTGGCCACAAGAAGACCTTTTTGTGTTTTTTTTTTTTTTTTTGTTTTGTTTTTTTTTTTTTTTTGTTTTGATGCACCTGGGATGTATTTAAATGATTTAATCACTTGCCCTCCAGAGGATTCCCCCCCCCCCCCCCCCGACCAGGCCATTTTTTTGCATTACGGCACTGCGTTACTTTGACAATTGTGCGGTCATGCAACACTGCACTCAAATTAAATTTACATTTTTTTTTTTTTTTTTTTGTTTTTTTTTTTTTCCCCATGAATTGAGCTTTCTTTCAGTGGTATTTGATCACCTGTGTTTGTTTTGTCTGGGGTTTTTTTTTTTTTTGCAAAAATACTGACCGTTTTGAGGAAAAAAAACAATGTGTGGCTTTTTGCTATTAAACCTGTCCAGTAACAAGATTTAAAATAAATTTAGGCCAAAATGTATTCTGCGACATGTCTTTGCTAAAAACAAATAAAAAATAAAAAAATCCCAATACGTGTAAATTGGTTTATGTGAAAGTTGTATAGCGATTACAAATGGCAGTATAGATACTGGACAGGGGCGGACTGACCATTTGGAAACTCGGGCACTGCCCAATGGCCCAGGGTCAGTAGGGGGCCCCATGAGATGCCTCTGGTACATTTCTTTTTTTTTTTTTTTTTTTTTTTTTTTTTTTCTTCCCATAGGCTTTTTTGAGTTTGGGCAAGGACACAGGGGCCCCATGATCCCCTATTGTCTGGGGGCCCCATGAGTTGTCAGTCCGCCCCTGATACTGGATTTATTTTTTTTTTTTTTTTTTTTTACTGGTAATGGTGGCAATCAGCGACTTATAGCAGGACTGCAGCAGACATTCTGATACTGGGGGGTCTGACTTGGTGTCACTGACATCCCCAATGACACCAATAGAGTGATCAGTGCTAAAATAAAAAAGCACTCACAATGTACTAATGGCACTGGGCAGGAATGGGTTAACATGAGGGGCGAACTAAGGGTTAACTGTGCAGGGAGTGTTTTACTGGAGGGCAGTGTCTGTGCGTCACTGTAAGCACACTGCCCTGACCCAGAGCAGTGTGCCCAAGCTGTCAGGGAGGACGACTGTTTGTAAACAAAACACTCCGCCTTGCCGTCGGAGATGCACGGTAATCACCTGTCGCCGGTGGGTAATCACCGGCCGGGACCCAGTTATTGACGGGTGCGAATGGCGGCACGGGTAGGGTGCATGTGCACCTCCTACCTGTAAATGCAAAATCGCGCGTGTGCGTGTGTGCGTGTGTGCGTGTGTGCGTGTGTGCGTGTGTGTGTGTGTGATTTTGCGCACTCCTGCCTCCCTGTAGCAGTATATCTGCTGTAGGGCGGCGGGACAGCAGTTAAACTGAAAGGTCAGGTGGGCTTTGACTACATTCTGTAGTAAATAATCAATATCTTTGCAAGCTCCTAACTGCCACAAAACTACCTATCCCAAAAAGAAAAGTAAAACTTTCACCCTTGAAAGTAAACGTATATAATAGCTGAACTCTTCTTTATATAAATCTCAATCTAAACTTGTACAAAATACGAAAATGTCCAAAATTAAATGAATGTCCCAAAAAAACATAAATGTCCCATAAATATAAAAAAAAAATGTTTTTTTATTTATGGGACATTTGTTTTTTGGGACTTTTTTTTGATTAATTTTTTGGGACATTCATTTAATTTTGGACATGTTTGTATTTTATATAAGTTTCGATTGGGATAGATTTATTTATATAAAGAGTTCAGTTATGATATACATTCTGTAGTAGTTGGCACATGGCTTTCTTTTTAAACACGCATTTAGATATACCAGCAGCAAAGCGGTACAAGGTTCTGCGTCTCTGGATAGATATTTGATGGCTTGCGGTCATGGACTCTCATACTACATACTCTGCATGGCAAAACATTTATGGACTGATCACTGGCAAATGGTCGCTGCATGAAAGAGATCACATGCAAGCTGCTGTGGTTAGCTGCGGGAGCTGGAATCCTCCTATTGCTATCAATGGGGCTGCCTCTCAGATCATAGGAACCCCCACTGGGGGTGCATTTGCAGGTGTGAATGAACTATGGCCTCGCTTTTTACCAAGTGTTGATTAGAAGTCTATCTGTATTTGGATTTCCCAGAGTCCCCTTAAATTCCTGAAACTAATATCTGTGAATCTTGCCAGTGAAGTCCATCCAAGGCAACTTTCTGGAATGGTGGGGGTGACAATGCTGCACTGCTCCTGAATTCAGTGCGTAATTTCCCCCCTTTGTAGGCTGTCTGTATGGGACATGTCTAAACGAGTCAGGCAACAGTGGTACCATTGTGACACTCTAAGGCAGTGGTTCTCAACCTGTGGGTCGCGACCCCCTTTGGGGTCGAAAGACCCTTTCACAGGGGTCCCCTAAGACCATCAGAAAACACATTTCCGATGTGTAAAGAGCAGCTGCTGTGTAGAAAGTAGCTGCTGTGTAGAAAGTAGCTGCTGTGTAGAAAGTAGCTGCTGTGTAGAAAGTAGCTGCTGTGTAGAAAGTAGCTGCTGTGTAGAAAGTAGCTGCTGTGTAGAAAGTAGCTGCTGTGTAGAAAGTAGCTGCTGTGTAGAAAGTAGCTGCTGTGTAGAAAGTAGCTGCTGTGTAGAAAGTAGCTGCTGTGTAGAAAGTAGCTGCTGTGTAGAAAGTAGCTGCTGTGTAGAAAGTAGCTGCTGTGTAGAAAGTAGCTGCTGTGTAGAAAGTAGCTGCTGTGTAGAAAGTAGCTGCTGTGTAGAAAGTAGCTGCTGTGTAGAAAGTAGCTGCTGTGTAGAAAGTAGCTGTGTAGAAAGTGCTGTGTGTAGAAAGTAGCTGCTGTGTAGAAAGTAGCTGCTGTGTAGAAAGTAGCTGCTGTGTAGAAAGTAGCTGCTGTGTAGAAAGTAGCTGCTGTGTAGAAAGTAGCTGCTGTGTAGAAAGTAGCTGCTGTGTAGAAAGCTAGCTGCTGTGTAGAAAGCAGCAGTATTGGAGGTAAAACGACACTCATGAATTATAATTACTGGGTAAATAATTTTATGGTTGGGGGTCACCACAACATGAGGAACTGTATTAAAGGGTCACGGCATTAGGAAGGTTGAGAAGCACTGCTCTAAGGGCTCATGTACACGGGGCATTTGGGAAACTCTTCTGAACATGGAAACTGACTGCTGGAAAACGTAGGTTAAAAAACGTCAGTTCAGCTGCGTTTGCATACTTGCGTTTATGTGCATTTACGTTTTAGAATCGTTTTTAAAGATAACCTCAGGAGACCTTCCCAAATGCCCAGAATGCACTCAAACAGTAAAAAAATTAACTATTTCAGACATTTTGAGAGAAATGGAGAGCAGTATGTGTTGGGATGACCTGTCTTTTTTTTTTTTTTTTTTTTTTTTTTTTTTTTTTTTTTTTTTTTTTTGGATGTATTCACTATGGATCCCATCATGAGCATAATGCGGCACATTCTGCCATTGTTTTTCCTTCTCGCCAAACCTGGAACTGACTGCGCTGGTGTACCGGGTCCATTTGAATACATGGAAAATGCTTTGCATGCATTTCTGATGATGAAAGAAGGCTCTGGACAGCATCTGGATATGGAACAGTTAAAAAAGGCTTCTAAACACGGTGAACTACGTTTACAAGCATTTGGCATTTTGAAGCGCCGGTAAAATCTACTCCTAGAAGTTTGGTGCGTTCAAAAAACGACTGTAAACTCAACTGCCTGTAAACGAAGATGTGTACATGGACACATAGGAAAAACATTAGGGAGAGTTCAGGGGCTGCTGAAAAAACCGCTGAACAGCTCCTGCCTGAACGTCAGTTTATCAGCTGCAGTGTACATGAGCCCAAAATGCTGTGCTTTCTGTATTGTCCTCACTGCTCTTGCCAGGTGACTGAGAAACCCAGTATTTATTACTATTATTGGCAGAGTGGCCAGCTAAAAGCTTAATGATGGCTATGACGTGAAGGGAATTTTGTTTGTCTTTTTGGGGGGTTTTTTCCCCCCAGTGGAGACAGAAATCTGACTTTTTTTTTTTTTTTTTTTTTTTGTAATTTTCTCACCATCTAAAACATGTTTATTTTAGACTTTCTATATTACTTTTTCTTTTAGGTGGCAAGTATGTACCCAGAGCTGTCCTTGTGGACTTGGAGCCTGGCACCATGGACTCCGTCCGTTCCGGACCATTTGGACAGATCTTCAGGCCAGACAACTTTGTTTTTGGTAATTTGTTTTTCTTTTTTATTATAATAATGCAGGATTAATTATATTATAGGTACTTGTATAGATCCGTCAATTTATTCAGCGCCCTACATATATATTGTACATTCGCATCAGTCAGGATTTATAAAGTGGCAACAGTTTACGCAGAGCTTTACATAAGGGCAGACAGTACAAATACAATACAGCTTAATACAGGAGGAATCGGAGGGCCCTGCTTGTTAGAGCTTATTTAAACAGATTTTTATATTTTCTGGTAAGCTGAAAATAAGAATGGTATGAAGTTTTCAACAGCCCCTTTTATGAAGTCCCGGTTCACACTATGAATCGCACTAGCATCTGCAGCGCATTGCGATCTGAGCCCATTCCTTTTGAATGGGCTTAAATCACACTGCATCGCACCAAAAGTGGTGCATGCACTACTTTTTTACTATGTAGCCCAATGAACTGTACTTGTGACCTGCATTTGGGGTGTCAACTTATTGATGCCCACTGAAGTGCGTTTTTTGAACGTGGGGTGAGAATCGCACACAGATCGCGTTTCCTGCACCACGCTCTAGTGTGAACCTGGCCTAAAAAAAAAAAAAAAAAAAAAAACCTGAACAGATTGTTCATTAAAGCCCATGCCAGGTCATTTAAATAAAAAAAAAAAAAAAATTATTTCAAAAACAATTCTAAGCCTTTTTTAGTAGCATATCCACATCTCCTGTTTTTCCATTGCGGAGCCGCCGCCGAATGAGCCGAGCATCGGGGTTGTGGTGCATTGAACTCCATAAGCGAGTTTGGTAGGTGGTGCCGCCTAAACTCTCTGGGGTGATTACTTGAGTCAGGGGCGGGACTGACCATTTGGAAACTTGGGCACTGCCCAAGGGCCTGGGGTCAGTAGGGGGCCCCATGAGATGCCCCTAGGTACCTTTTTCATAGGCTTTTTTCAGTTTGGGCAAGGACACAGGGGCCCATGATCCCCTATTGCCCGGGGGGCCCATGAGTTGTCAGGGGCTTGAGTGCCCAATACAAAAGTTCATGACACTTTTGGACCTGTTCAAAATGTTTACTGTTTAAGAGCATCAGGTGAAGCCAAGGTGTTTCAGGGGAAGTGCCTCCATCTTCCTTAGGGCTAGTATACAAGAAAATAATGAACAGCAGAACATGATGTAAATAACTACATGTCAATAACCTAGATGAAATACTCCAAATAATAAAATGGTGAACTTGATGACCAACCTAACCCATACAGTTTAATTTATTGAGGAAACTCCATTTCAATAAAAATGGTGCTGAATTGGACTAATATCATTAAAAAAAAAAAAACAACAAAACACACATGAACAGCTAAACATGTTTAGCAGTAAGGAGGTGGGACTGACTTCATCAGTGGATGTGATTAGACTCCTGATGAGCTGAATGAGGTGCTGCCTGTCAAACTCTGCACCCGGAGTTAAAAAGGCTGCAGTTGTGTCTGACTAATGTTACTAATCAGGTGGGTGGCCAGGGGGCTGTAAAACCATGGCTCAGTCGCCTGTTTTTACTACCTCCTAGCTGTCTCTTTGAAAGAGCCCTTAATCTGTTTCAAATCCATCTGCAATATTTGTCTGGGATGTAACCATAGCTTGGGTCTTCTCTTGCAGGACAAAGTGGTGCTGGCAATAACTGGGCCAAAGGACACTACACAGAGGGAGCAGAGTTGGTGGACTCTGTAATGGACGTAGTGAGGAAGGAATCTGAAAGCTGTGACTGTCTGCAAGGTTTTCAGCTTACTCATTCCCTAGGTGGTGGAAACTGGATCTGGCATGGGGACCCTCCTTATCAGCAAGATCAGAGAAGAATACCCAGACCGAATCATGAACACCTTCAGTGTTGTACCCTCCCCCAAAGTATCTGACACAGTGGTAGAACCTTACAATGCCACACTCTCTGTCCACCAACTTGTAGAAAACACAGATGAGACCTACTGTATAGACAATGAAGCTCTGTATGATATCTGCTTCCGTACACTCAAGTTGACCACCCCTACATATGGTGATCTTAATCACTTGGTCAGTGCTACCATGAGCGGTGTCACCACCTGTCTGCGCTTCCCAGGCCAGCTCAATGCTGATCTCCGAAAAACTAGCTGTCAACATGGTCCCCTTCCCACGTCTTCACTTCTTCATGCCAGGATTTGCTCCTTTAACTAGCCGTGGAAGCCAGCAGTATCGTTCCCTCACAGTACCAGAGCTCACCCAGCAAATGTTCGACTCCAAAAACATGATGGCCGCCTGCGACCCAAGACACGGACGTTACTTAACGGTGGCAGCTGTCTTCAGAGGACGCATGTCCATGAAGGAGGTGGATGAGCAGATGCTGAATGTTCAAAACAAAAACAGCAGCTACTTTGTAGAATGGATCCCCAAACAATGTGAAGACAGCAGTCTGCGACATCCCACCACGTGGTCTGAAAATGGCAGCCACCTTCATTGGCAACAGCACAGCCATCCAAGAGCTATTCAAACGCATCTCTGAGCAGTTCACTGCCATGTTCCGTCGCAAGGCCTTCTTGCACTGGTACACTGGAGAAGGCATGGATGAGATGGAGTTCACAGAAGCTGAGAGCAACATGAATGATTTGGTCTCAGAATACCAGCAGTACCAGGATGCCACAGCAGAAGAGGGAGAGTTTGAAGAGGAGGCTGAGGAAGAAGCTGCATAGGTTTACTCACTGACCCACACACAAAGATTTATCCCCCCACCATCCTGCCATAAAAGTCCTCACCAAGCAGCAGGCCCCCTTCCCCACTGTGAGAAACGGCAGAGCCTCTGAATCGGTGACTGCTCATGAAAAACATGGAGCTGAACTTATAACCCTCATGGTTGACTCCCCATCTATAACCCTCATGGTTGACTCCCCATCTAAACCTAATAGGAAGGAGCGCTAATTTGGAAGTCCTTGGCACTAGACACTCTTCATAGGATTCTAAAAATGTTTCTGGTGATTGTCCTGTTTTTCTTGTGGTTGCGGTTGCACTGGTTCTGAAGGATAGACCAGGCCATTATGACTCTTGTTTTGTGACATAGCATGTGAAGTTTACAAGAGGTCTCTTTCTGCTTGAGCAGAGGAGGCCTGCCTTCTGTAAAGGGTTTGTGTTCTAGATGTCAAAGTAAATTGTATTTAGTGCTAGGAATGCCACTTAACTCCATCGGAGTTCTTGATGGTCATTGGCTCGTCCTCTGCATAGACTGTCCTTGGTATTTTGGATGGAATTGACTGTTTTGTCAATACAACAGGCTAGAACATCTTCCCAGTCTTCTAATTGATAACCTAGATTGTACTTTCAGTATTGGGGGGCCTACTGAAATGGAATAAAATAAGCTGTGTACCCCAATGGGCAATTTGGTCTTTCCATTGTAAGTTCATTGCCTCTTAAATTGCCAAGCGTTAATTTTTATCACGTCCCACCCCCGGCTCAGTTGCCTGCTCTTCTCAATGCCAACAGCTTTTGATATTCTCAGTTCCCAAGTGCTGGCCCAACCAGTAGATTCAGGGCGGTAAGTATTTACAGTGCTTTCTGCCTCCCCTTGTCATGTTACTGCGCCAACACTATATTATTGTATGTCACTGCCCCATCTTGTGCATGACGAGCCTCCCTTAACCTCAGATCTGGTCTCCTTCAGCTCCTCCCACTTTTTGTTTTTTGGGTTTTTTATTTGAAACACTGGCGCTTAAACGACTTTCCCACCGCTATTGGTGGGTACTTGTTACTATTTTGTGCACTCACTGTAAACTGGTGCGAAAGGTAACATGCTCTTTTGTAGGATCCATTCCTAGAGGTTCAAGAGTCCTCCAGACTCCTTAATGCATATACACCGTGTCTCCTGCTGCATTTTATTTTGTCTATATGGTTTAAGTGAGTAAATAAATGTGATATTGTGAATCCGTTGCCCAGTTCATTGGACCTATTGCACAGGATGAAAGCACTTATCCCTTGGCAGAGCTGTCATGTCTACACACTACTGAATAAAGGCCCTGTGCGAAAACTATTCCGTGTCTTTCCTCTTCTTTCTTCTTCTTTTTTTTTTTTTTTTTTTTTTTTTTATAACAGGGAGGGTGGTGTGAAGTTTGAAAAGGGGAGCTAGGTAGAGCAGCCATAAATACTTTAAAATTAGTGAGAGCCGTTGATTTGTAGGGATTGCTGATAAGCCCAATCCTGTCACGTGTTGTGTGCCCCCAGAGCAAGCTGCTTGCTATGGGGCACTTGTGCATGCTTACTCCTGAACCACCTCTGTGTCCATAAGGGCTCATTTACACTTGCTTTGACTTCAACACACTTTAACCTTGGTGCAGACCGCACGCAAATGTGTGGCCTCCCAGCATCTGGGCCTTGACGCTGAGCAGCTGCACATTTGCGTGCAATTAAGAAAAACCTATGTAATGAGAGCGTGCACCCTGCATGCTCCCAGCACACATGTGCAGTACTCACAGAAAGGTCCTGATCTCCTCTTTCAATCGGGACCTTTCCCAATCATATGGTGGTGAATCATGGCGGTCACATGACCCTAAAACCCTGCCCCACCTCCCAGCTTCTGAAACCCTTAAAGGGCCAGGAGGCGCCAGCGCCAAGGGGTTAAAGTACCTACTACTTCAACATGGTTTATTGATGCTTTGTGATGGCTTTTTGAACTTTTAATGAAGCTTGGCAAGTATCCTGTTGATTTTTTTTTTTGATTTGTTTTAAAGGGGCCCCAGTAGTACCCCTGTTCAGCAGATCACCAGCTCATTGGTACCATCATTCAGCTGATCCTCAGCTCAGTAGTAACCTCCAACTCAGCTGATCCTCCTCTCTGGTCCCTGCTCACCTCCTGCTATATTGTTCCCATGCTGCACACCACTTATGATATCTGCTAGTTTCTCCTAATCCAGTCCCCCAGCTCTGCTACTCAGTCCTCTTTCTTGGTCCCTGCTCAGCTTTTGTTCCATGTTGAACGCGGTCTTCCACCCGCTCACCTTCCTACTGATCTTTGCTGCACACCAGATGTGACGTCTGCACCAGACACTCCCAGAATATATAAACCTGAACCACGAGTGACTGCTGATGACATCTTTCTGATGTTGGTTTCCCATTGCATCCTGGGCTATCTCATACCTGCAATACCTCAAAACAAAGAAGCTAAAGCTGAATAAAAGCCTCTCAAAAGTGACAGGTGCTGTTAGCGAGCTTTGGCATAGATTTCGGTTTGAGGCTTTAGAGATGCTTTTGAAGCATGAAAAAAAGCAAATGGGGATATAATTTTGAATCAAAGCAAGTGCAATGTGTAAATAGGACTGTAGACATAACATTTTATGAAGTGATGGGTGCTTTGATTGACAGAGTGCTTTTTAAAAAGAAGAAAAAGTGCCCAATGCTGCGTTTTGAAGCAAATTTAAACGAGCCCTAAGCCACAGACTGGCTTGGCCCCCACCCCTGCTTCCTACTCACTGGCTGTGATTGACAGTTCCTGCTGCTGAGTCTCAGCCAATGAGTGAGGGACCTGGGCGAGCTGCTGATCTCATACACATCACAGGGTCAAGATCTGGATAGGTGGGGAGATGCAGACTGAATATTTCACCTTCATTGCATAGACTGCATGAAGGTAAATATCCTTTAGAACCACTTTAAGCCGACTAGACCTCTGCGGATTAGTTCACACCACAGAAATGCCCCCCAGATGTGTTTTTACTTGACTGCACAGGTGTGATTTGGTGCCATTGGAATACATTGAAAATACTGTTCATGCATTTTTGATGCGGAAAAAAAAAACATACTGGACTGTATTTGGTGTGAACCAGTCCTAAAGTTTTTTGAGAAGTTTGCCATAGCTAAAATTTACAAAAGAGATAAATGTATATTTTGCTCTGACCTTACACATGGACCTTTTACATGGGGAAATACTTGGTATACATACATGCCTTGTGCCTGCCTGGAGTTGGAGACATGGAAAGCACAAGTCAGCATATTGTTCCGATTGATTTGTGTTACGGAATAGCCATGGCATGTGCAGTTAACACTAAAATGATACACTGAATAATTCTCAGTGTAGAGTTTTTTTGTTTCGTGGCTGTACCACTGCAGGAAAGATAAGTAGCTGTAATCTAAGTGCTGTAGATAGCAGTTGGACCAGTGCCATCCACCCAACCCTTGAGTGTGACTTGAGGGATGAGGTTCTGTACAGAATTTGCAGAGCATATAAGGGAGAGGTGCAGAGTCAGAACCTCCTGCCAAGAACCAAAGAAATACAGTACAAGTCCTGCTACAAACTTAAATACAAGTGTTGTATGGACTGACACATGAAGGAACACATTCCAAGTAGCTGCCATTGTGGTGGATGTATAAACTGGTAAGTTATACTGAAACCCTTTTGCTTTAGCTATTTGGGGTAGTTGGTAAAGATAAGGGTTCTATGTAATATTCTAGCAAAAAATATAGATTTTTACGTGTAGGGGGGGAAAAAAAAATGGCAGAATTGGCCTGGTGGAGAACTAGTTAACCTACTGTCAACTGCTAGTTGCTTAGTTGGCTTGAATTGACTCAAGATGTTTGATTCAGGGACCTGAACTGTGCTGCAAATGAAGACCAAAATGCTGGTCTTCATCCATATCCTAACACTATTGAGATGGCAGTGCAGTAAGTACATTGCTTAAACAAATTAAAGGCATACTTTGAAAACACATCAGATCTCAATGGGGGAAATAATGCTGGATGTCTATACTGATATGGATGGGGTGATGTGTTAGGAATGTAAGGATGCCCCATCGTTTGATTGTAATGAAAAATATCAACCTACAGAGGACTGAAGTCAAACACACCCTAAAAAAACAAATCATGCAGCAGGTGAGTCCTTTTTGCTGAAATTTCCTTGCAGCAACTGAAAATGGTACTCAATGGTTTTGTATGGCCCCCACGTGCTTGTATGCATGCCTGACCACGTCGGGGCATGCTCCCAATGAGACAACGGATGGTGTCCTGGGCTATTTCCGCCCAGATCTGGACCGGGGCATCACTGAGCTCCCAGAGGTATTCTATTGGATTTAGGTCAGATGAGTGTGGGGGCCATTCAATGGTATCAATTTCTTCATCCTCCAGGAACTGCCTGCATTCTCTTGCCACATGAGGCTGGGTATTGTCATGCACCAGGAGGAATCCAGGACCCACTGCACCAGCGTAGGATCTGACAACTGATCCAAGGATTTCATCCCAATACCTAATGGCAGTCAGGGTGCCATTGTGTAGCCTGTAGAGGTCTGTGTGTCCCTCCATGGATATGCCTCCCCAAACCATCACTCACCCACCACCAAAATGGTTATGGCAATTGAGCTTTGTTGTGCTGGGCAGTAAGCATGGGCCCCATTAGAGGACATTGGGCTCTCAGGCCACCCTCTTGAAGTCTTTCTGATTAGGCAGAGACCTTCACACCAGTTGCCTGCTGGAGGTAATTTTGTAGGGCTCTGGCAGTGCTCATCCTGGTCCTCCTTGCACAAAGGAGCAGAGACTGGTCCTGCTGCTGGGTTAAGGACCTTCTACGGCCCTGTCCAGCTCTCCTAGAGTAACCGCCTGTATCTTGGAATCTCCTCCATGCTCTTGAGACTGTAGTGGAAGACACAGCAAACTTGGCAATGGCACGTATTGATGTGCCATCCTGGAAAAGTTGGACTGCCTGTGCAACCTCTGTAGAGTC